GGAATGTTGGGAAGGGGTGGGGTGTGGAATTAAACAGAATGTTCAGGGAATGTCTCATTGAGAAGATGAAACTGGACTGCAGATGGAAGGAAATAGGGTGCCTGCCCCAGACTACTCAGATACTACGAGACTAATGAGGGCGTGAAACTAGACTGCCTGTGTCTCATGCTGAGGAAACTCAAAACTTTTAAATGGGGCTACTAGAAAACCTACCCAAATTTTATCTCAGGAGAAGACTGTTTTTATTATGCTGGTGAGCAAACAAATCTGCCTTTTGCCCAGCAGGGAGACACTACCTCTAGCTTACAAGGCTATTTGTTATGTAAGCATCCTTGAAAAACCAGTGCTGAACAGAAGCCACCCAGGTCTCTGCTTTGAAGACATACACAAATGCAAGAGACCCATGGAGGTTTATCTTCCATCAGTTATTTCCAACACTTATATTTGATCATATTTGAATGACCCAGTTAGGCTAAGGACCATCCCATTTTTAGCGGAGGGAGGCAGAGAGGCTCAGTTAGGATCCTGTCCATAGATGCCATTTAACCCTACTGTAGCCCAGGCTCATCAGGGTCAGATGTTTTTTATGCTCTCAAGGGCTCTACAATCACAAGTCTTCTCAAGTGAATAAACATGGCAGCAAACAGACACTGTTTTGGGGCTGGTCTGAAGATTCCTTCCTGATTTAAGTCCCTTGTTAGGGGTTGTAACAGCTTAGTTATCAAGACCTGCAGAAAACCTTTCCTTCACTCCTTACTTCTCTGCCTCTGTATTTGATGGGTCATTTTGAACCAGTGGATAGAGAGGCAATGTAGGGCTCAAGAGCCTTGGATATGAGAATGTTGATATTTAGTCTTCTCAGGAACTCTTCAGGAAGCTGAGACACTCTCTCAGCCACATTCTTCAAGAAGTTAAAAGAGGACTTTTAAAACATAGACATACTGTTAGACTCCTTTTGACCTTTCTGGGGTAGGTGGCCTATAGCAAACTAGTTACAGGAGGCCAAGCTCCATTGCTGGAGATTGATTTACAGAGTTTCTGAGTCTCTCTGGAAGACCTTCGTCATTGTCTTAATAATTCCACAGAACTTTAGCATATTGGTGACTCAGGGATCATAGCACCAAGTAAGAAGGATCTTAATTGAGTGGCAAGCTACTGCTTCGTATGAGAACAATTTAAGTAACAGTGTTATCTTTAAGATAGAATCAGGAGTCTCTCTAGCAAAGTACAAAGGTGAGGGATGATATTATATTAGGATTTAACTAGTCCAACTCCTGACCAGTTCCATGTCACTTACAGTTCCATCTCTTGCCACTTCAGCTTTTCCACCCTCTTATCTTCATGGGTAGTCATGGTGGATATAGTCAGGGAGACCTGTGAATTAAATGGAGGCTCCAAGTCTTTTATAGGTGGGATGAGTACTGGTGACTCACTGGCTATTTTAAGAGAAGACCTTGCTCACTTCAGAAGGTGGCCATTTCTTAGACTGCTAGTCAGATTGCTCTTAAGGGAGATACCTATCCATTGACCTAATAACTATTGTCTAAGTAGAGAACTCTTTGATAGATTGCTTGTATGTTCAATTTTTATTTTAACACATATTTTTAAGTCAGAAGTCTTGAAAGCAATCCATCCTAGAGGACACAATATAGAATTTTTAATTTTGAATTTTTGTTCAAGAGAAAATACTTTTTTTAAAAAAAGGTCAGCTTTTAAGTTGGGGAAAATTAGACATTTTAGATTGATGAATGATAGAGCTTAAGCCCCGCCCCCCACTCCAGAAAGTAGCTCTTCATTTCTTTTGCATAAAAGATCAGTCTGCAAAGATGTAAACTATAAGATGCCAACACAAATTAAATTCTGAAACCATGGAAAGAAAGATAAAATGCACACCTTACATTTAAGTCAGTTACTCAATGTCCTAGCCAGTTGGTGGTCTTGACATAGTTCTGGCCCACTCTGCAGGCAAATGGCCTTCTGGAAAATAAATGGAAGGAAGGATGAAAAAAAAAATGTGCAAAAAGGAGAGAGAGGAATGCAGAAAGGGAAAGAAAAAAATTACTGAACATGTTCTGAGATAGTAATAATCGCAGTATTCCATATGGTCTACATGGGAGCCTGTGGAAGATTTTCAAAGAGAGAAAGGTACTTGTGTAGTTTGTTACCTGGGAGACTGAGCAGCCCTGGGCATTGGATCAAGTTTTCTGGTCAATGCCAAACTCTGACACGGAGACCCAGTTATTCTTCCCTTTTAGGGTAGAGAGTCTGGAGGAGAGGGTGTGTTGGTGCCACGGGTAAATTGCATACTCTTTCAAAAGAAGATTGTATAAGGATCACAGGATGAAAGTCCTTGTTAGGACGAGCCACATGATAAATAATCTAAACTGAGAGAAAGGAAAATAAAAACTTAGATTTCAGAGGAAGCTCACTGCTAAGTTTCCTCTGGGTAGAGAGTAGATTGGAGGCAGCATACATGAAGGTGGTGCACATACAAATGTGGAAAGCAGTCACTGTGGAGATGGGACAGGTCATGGAAGAGGACATGTGCTTCTTTTCCTTTCTCATGTAAGCTAGAATAAACTTGGGAGTCTAGAGCAGAGGCTGCCAAACTTTCCCTTAGAAAGACTAGATGGGAACTATTGTAGGCTTTGTGGGCTATACTGTGTCTGTTGCTATTGCTTCATTTTGCCACTGCAGCCTGAATGCAGACAGACAAAATGCAAATGTGCATGTGGCCTTGTTCCAATTAAACTTTATTCACAAAATAGCAGTAGGCCAGATTTGACTCTGGGCCATACTCCCTAGTCTAGCTAGAGAGTCAGTTTCCATGGGCAGGCAAGGAGCACAGCCTTATGAGGAGCTTGAAATACCGGGGCCAGACCCTCATTTCCAGGTGGCGTTTTGTCTCTTTCAGCTCGAGAACAGAAGTGGCACCTTCTTTTCCAGCAATTCCTGAGGTGTCCAGGGCATTAGTATCTTCTCTGGTTTATTAAATCGGGTTTTGGATCCATTCCTAGTGTTTGTAAACACAAGTATCAGTAGAAAAGAAGACCAAGCAATCATTAGGAGACAAGAGAAGTAGACATCGAAATAAAGGCAGACGACCTTTTCTTTTTTATTTCGCTTAGACAAAATGCAAAGAGTGTCTCATTAAATTAAAAAATAAACAAAAAAGAAAACCAAATTGATTCCCCCCACCCCTCACTGACGGCACTCATCCTAATTAACAACAAAAGAAGATCAAATTGAGGACCCAGTTTCTAATGGGAAAGGAAGTTGTGCAAACGTGACTAAAGTTTTCCCCTGCCCCCAAATGAAGGTTCTTTTTAAATTCACAAATAGGCTAATTTCCCCCCCTGTTTTCTTTCTTGACTCTTGTGTGATAGAACTTCCAGTCAGAAGGTTTAATTAGTTCCCCATGCACTTTGTAGAAAATCAGTAAAAATGCAATAGCCTGTGAAGATCATAAAACTGGACTTCTTTCCCAAAAAATCAGATGCCCAGGCGGATGGAGCTCACACTCAGACAGAAAAAAAGCAGGAGAGTCTTTGCACTGTCTGTGGTTTCAGTATTTTTTCTTTTTTTTTTTTTAATATATTTTGGCAATTTTCTTTAATTATAAATATTGGAATTCCGTAAAAAAAAGGTAGCTTTGATTGAATTGTTTAAATTGTATTTACAACCGCTGTCCAGTCATGCTGTTTGTTATACCAGGGTGTAAGATTTTGCGTAGGGATTATTTCCTTTCAAATGGCCCCGAGAGTCGAGCAGTGATTCTTGGGAGCTGCTCATTTTAGCTGCCTGTCCCAGCTCGGCCCCTTCTCGCTGAGGTAATGTGGCCACGGCCCCTGCCTGCCACGACTGTCCTTCTCTCGTGGAGGAGGTGGAGGAGGAGGCCTCCATCGGGATGGGCTCAAGGACCGTGGGGCGCTTCAGGGTCCGGCTTTTCTGAGGTTCCAAGCAGGCTTGTCCTAAACTCAGGTCCCTGCTGGTGCCTGGACCACCTCGGTTTAACAAAAAGTCCATTCTAAGGTATGGAGGCAAATGTATGAGGTCACCTGGAAACAAACACAGAGCAGTTAGTTGGTTCTGTCATCTGGCAAACACATATAGAATGCCCTTGTGTGCACGTGGTGGGCCATTCAGGGTTTAGAGCTGTATAAGTCACTGTGCATGGTGTGTTTTTCAAGACATCTCATTATAGTTCCTCACAAAGGCAGATGGAATCATCTTCATACCTCCTGCCTGGGCCCAGAGACCTGGCTTCTTTCTCTATGGTACTTTAATGTCAACTCTTCAGTGTCATACTTGAATCAAAAAATAGAGGTAACAAGATCCTTTGAACCACAACCTAAAGGAAAGCATACATCAAAGGCAACAGCGTCCACTGGATACAAACTGGGATAGACCTACCTATGTGATGGTGTCAACTAACTACATGCCTATCACAATGGGAAGTTCTGGGAGACCATGGGACTTAGGGAGAGGGCCAGATATGCCATGGAAAGAATAACAGAGAGTTGTGTCTCGTCTCAGCAACCCTATAAAACTGTGTAACCTTGGCCAGTTACTTAGTTACAGGTTGCTGTGATAATGTCAGGTCAAAACTCCACAGCACATGGCCTCCTTACCAGGCCCTGGCTACTGACTAAACTCCTTGTGTCTCCTCTGTTTCAGCTCTGCTGTGTATAGCAATAAGAACAGCTTAGACCAGACCATTTATGTTTCTAATGCATTTTCTAGATGACCATTTCTGCCCAATGCAGGATTTCTCTAACAAGCAAATTTTGTTCGCAAATTCTCCATCAACCTGGTTGCAGCCCTCTGAAATGTATTGCAACTTGAGGTTGCTCTTCTTCCCTAATCCTTTTTTCCCTTTCTCTTCTCACAATGAATGATGATGCAGATCATCATCCCTGGACTCTTTCTTCCTGCTCCTGTTCCTTTATTCTTGACAAGAATTTCCCCGAAAAAAAAAATTCTTGGAAAAAATAATTTCTTGGAAATCTTAATGAATCTAGATGGTATTACCATCATGGCTGAAACAGTTCTTTTGAAGTCAACTATCACCTTAGAGGCCAGGCTCTATGGCTTTTTCTTGGTCTTCATCCTACCTGTATTACTATGACACTTGATGCTGTTATTTTATTCTGGGAATTCCAGCTGCCACTGTGGGCTCCGAGACCTTCCTGCATCTGTCACTTTCTCTCTCTCCTTTCCTGGATCTCCTTCTCCAAGCATCCCTTAAATAGAGTTTGCCCAGTGGCCTGTTCTTACCAATCTCTTTTGGAAGACTTAGAGCTGCTGTGTCATCTCTTTATAAATAGCTCTTACAAATATCCTTCCTGTTTCTTTCTCTCTCCTGAGCCGTAGGCTTGAATTTCAGATGCTTTGCTCTGCAAAATGAATGTCCCTCCTGAATGTTAAATGATATAGCCTACAAACCCAGTTTATGAAGGCTAGCTCTCACTCCCAGTCTTTCCCCCAAATGCTACTTCTCCTGTTTGCACAATCTTATTTAATGATATCAACATCCTCCCCCACATCAATGGTTGAAACTTCAAGAGTCCTTCTGCTCCAGGTTAAGTGCCAAATGTTTCTTAACTCCTTTCATTCCCACCCTCATGGCCCTGGTTAAGTCTTTCATATATCCCATCAGTTCCCTGCAATGCAGTGTAATTAGGACTCAGCCACTAGATGCACTTGGCAACCTACATACCCGGCTTGAACTGGGCTCACCATGGGTCTGGGTTTCCACTGTTTTGGTACAGACAATGTTCATTCTGTAGCTCAGTTCTTCCCACTTTTCTTACTTTGAGGTATACATGGACAAAGGACATTTCTTCAATATGCTAGGGTGAACTCAGGGAGCTCTTCCTGGCCACCCTGAGTGCTGAGGGCCTCACCACTTTGATACGTCTGTAACTTCTGACATACCACATAAGAAGCTCTGGCTAGAGGATGGGCTGTATATGTACAATACTGGAGGCAAGAGACAGTAGGAGGATATGTATGTGAGAGAGACATAATGCTAGTGTGAGCTCAAGGGGCAGCTATAGGATTGGAGAGATGAAATGAAATGGTGAGATATGAAGGGGGTCCAAAGAAGATGACTTCATATTCATTGACAAGTAGCAGTGGTAAAAAAGAAAGAGGGAGCAGGGATGACCCGACCTCCCCTGCTGCCCCCACCAGCTGTTAGCTCAGAAGCCTGGGCAGACTGTGGAACTATTAACTATGAAAGAATACATGAACGGGTCTTTGAAAAGTTTACAGAGAAAAGTATATTATGAAAAAAATTATCCATGAATTTGAAGATAAACTCATACTTATCATTTTTCCATGAACTTTTTGAAATACCCTTATATAGAAGAAAGATTATATTTTGGTGGGAAAAGATGGAGGATTTGATTTAGACATTTCAAGTTTGATACGGTTGGGGGACATCCAAGAGGAGATACCTAGTGGGCATTTTTATGAACACAACTTATCTCTCACTTCCTGAATCTACAATAACTGACAAATCTAAGGCCAGGAGATGGTTAAGGTGCTGGACTTCCACATGGCCGACTGTGGTTTGAATCCAGGACCCAGCTTTAAAATCACGCTGGGTATGTGTGCAGGTGTGAATGGAGGAGAATGGATTGCAGTGTGGACATCTCCTCTGGGAAGGTGATTTCTTATTTTCCTTCTCATTGTCTTTCTCTGAACAGCACATACACCCTTTGGCAAAAACCAAAACTAAATAAAAAACTGACGATTCCTGTTTCTTGGTTTACTTTCTTTATTTCCCTATAAACTTGCAGTAGTTGTTAAGCCTTCCTCATACAGCTTCCTAGACCCTTGAGCTCTGAAGGCAGGGGGAGGAGTAGGAGTATGGAAATCACGAGACCATATGAGCCTAGCAAGGGCTGCCATTAGTTGGCTGATGTGCCAACAAAGTAATTGGAGTGTGTTTAGGCAGTGATTTAAATCTGGTAATTTAGATTTAAATGTTCAAGTTTATCCACTGAAAGGAAATAGTTAAATAGGACCAAAGGACTACTCAAGGGTAGAAGAGAATGAAAACTAAGTAAAACTAAGACACTGAAAAATGAGTTTTCTACAATTTAAACAGGCATAAACATTTTCAAAATGTTATTACTTTTAAAAATACTTTTCTCCCCAGGACAAGAGGAGCAATGACCTGATTCTTGGGAAGTTTACCAAGGTTTTCCATGTCCTTGCATTACATTGTCATGCCACTTGTTATTTATGATTGAAAAATCTACTTAGCATTTTCTCATTGGCTTTTTAAGGAAGTCTTTATCCTATTAAGTGATGATGAATAATTATATGATTTCATTAAGAATTACAGCATACAATTCACTAAAACCACCAGAGACGCTTTGGATCTGGTTCACTGAGATCAAAGGCACTCTAATTCAACGTTGCCTTCATACAATGAACTGGGTCAAAGGGAAGCCTAATAATAAATAACTTGACAATAAATTGGCCTTAAAACTGTTATAGAAAGAACACTATTTGGTATTCTTGTGAAAAGGGTTTGGGTAAAATGATCCATTAGGACAATGACGGCAACATAGACCCTAATGTTGAAAGAGGACTCCCTTGCTGTATGTATTAGCTTTGCTTCTGAAAAATGCAAGTAGTTAATTTTAAAAAGATAAACCTTATTGTTTTGAAAAGGTACCATCATTTATGATAGTGGATATATTCTCTAATCTCTATCAGCGGTTAATTATTTGCAAACAGATATGAAAATATTAACAGTGCTGTTGTTGATTTTAAAAAAAGGAATATTTAAGTCAAAGAACATTTTGTATGTTAGTCAACACAACTTAGCTGAACAATTTTGAAATCTATGAATTTCTACATATTCAATTTCCAGAAAGGGCTTATCTGTCCTTAATCATAAGTAACCAAGTTATGCTAATTTGCTATTCTATTTACTTAAATGGCTGATATTATTTTTATCATATTGCTTAAATGTTTGAGAAAATGTGGAAGACATTTGTCTCTAGGTTACTTAAAAATATAGGTCAAGAATGTCTCATGCTGTTCCTGAGACCCAACTCAATCTTGAACACTTGACATATTTGTAATGTGTTGTAACAGATTCAGGGACAAGTCTCCATCTCAGCAACTCCCTATGGAATGCACAAGGCTTATTAAGCTCCTACAAAGCAATCACACATTGGTCCCATTTGAATTACAGAATGCTCAGGTCTTAGATTGAATGGAACAAATATTTTTTAAATCAAAAGACAAAGCCCATGCTATTTGCACCCTGCTTGTAGGGGTTCCTACTTTAGATGTAGAGATCAAGAGGGTTCAGATAGCTGAAAAATGATGGTGAGAAATGAACATCCTCTCTAATGGAAGTAGCTCAGCATCACATCTTTACGCACAAAAGTTATCTAAGCTTGCTTGTTGTAGGTCTGACAAGTATCTCTGAATGTCCATGAACCCTGATCTGGTTTTCCACGCAAAGCTTTATGAAGTTGTATGATGCTCTAATTAGCTGTGTGTGTTTTCTGATTAGCACCCAAAGTAGCCCTTTCAAATGTGTGAATGCTGCAAATGAGCTCTCTCAATCATTCACACACTTATGTGGAAGACAGCCCCAGAACAGTCGGTGGTGAGCTTTGCTTATTACAGGCAGTTTATGTCTATTAACATCCCAGATCATATGCCAGTCTAAATGCCAGTTGGGAAACTAGATTCCCTAATCATCCACCCCTTCCCCTATGTTCTTGATATGCCTACACACACCAAGACAAGTGCATTGCCCCTAAAAAAGTGAAGGGAAGGATGGGCGTGGTGATCACTGGGACACCTGCTTCTTTTACCCCATCTGCTTGTTTCACTAAAATTGATGATAGACTCCAACTAAGGAGATAAAGAAGACAAATTGGGATGGCATTGCTTGCTTTTATCTGACGGATATCACTCTGGGCACAGTTTCCCCACACATTAAATGGGCATCACAGCAGAATCTATCAAGGAGAGGGTTATGGTAAAGATAATATTAGGTGACCCATGTGAAAGCTTTACA